CCCCTGTGCAACCTCCGTTCTCTGTCTTCTTCCCGTAATTCGGCTGACATCGAGGGGAGCAGAGAAGAGAAGAGACATCGCGAGAGAGGGAACGGAAGTAGAGAAAGGGGCTGGAAACTGCAGTGTCGAAGGGAGACCCCGAAACCAGAGTGGGTGGGATCGGTGGTGCAGACGTAGAGGTCCAATTAATCAGCCGAGGCGTGAAACGAGAGGGGAAACGCGAAGGGTAGGGGGAGTGATTCTGGTGGAGGGAGCGGAGGGATGTCGCAGGGATTGCGGTGACAGATCCGCCGTATCTATCCCTATCTGCTCGGGGCATTAAATTCGCGCGATGCCAGTAACGGTGCCGTCAGCGGCTGGTTCCTCTTGAATCGGTTAACATTCCGCTGTACGCGCTGCTTCAGCTTTCAATTAAACGCTTGTACATCACTAGATGGACACGTCTCGTTCGCGGTTTTAACCTGACTCTGCCGCCGTTCAAATCCTGTCAGAGGATTTGAAGATGTTGCCCGTTTTATAGATTAGTTTTAGGACAAAGGAGCGCATAGCAACAGATCGGTAGAGCGTACGAAGATTAAGACGCAGAATTTCTAGCGGAATTTTCGTTCCATGCCTGATTATCTGTTACTGCTATCGCTATCGCTGTTGAAGGAAACTTTGGATACGAGTCTCAGACCTTATAGAGGTTTTACGATGACAGCTATATCGTATCGCGGGGAGATATTTTCACACGGTGTTATACATGGAAAGGGGCATTTAAATATTCTCTTCGTGGTACTGCTCATTCGTGCCTTTTTCTAGATCATACATTTTTCAGCAATATTTCAGTAAATAGAGTCCTGAATTAAGCGGTACGGAACACGTATTAGAAAGATTTCAAACGAACAGAATCAATACATCGTGGATTTTCGTTAAATTCGAAGAAACGAGATTTATAAATCCTCGACTCGCTTAATTGCTGAAATTATTTAGATTCGAATGACCATCCAACGATCCAATTAAACGATTTTTTTTTCTTCCTGCATACTATGTAAACGCACGCCATTTTCATAAAAGATGCGACCGAAACGGGATTTGGTTCGGCGTTAATGAACACCTCGCTTACCGGGTGATTATTTTTGATAAAAGTCGAAACGAACTTTCCTGACGCTCTCGTGTACGAGCGCGATTAATGAAAAAACCGGAGAAACCGGGAACTCGCGTTCTTCGATGGTCGCAACTTTTTCAGACCATTTTCCCTTTAATTGTAAATTGTTCTCGTAATTCCACTTAATTGCGACGAAGATGAGGTTTAGACTTTTTAATCCCTTTCTAATTTTGCGAATTATACGCACTCGGACGAAATATAGAAAGATGGAACGATTAAAAAAGGTTTCTATCACGGAAATAAAAGAATGTCACCTAATGTTCGTCATGTTCTTGGATTTTGAAATATCAAAGAATAGCTTTTAGATCGTTCGTTGACTTTTGACAAACATTCAAGAAATCAAGATGACTAAATTATTAATCACCATTTCATAGAAAATTTACCGAACTTCCCGTTCCATATTCTTCTCTTCTTCCGTCCGACTGCAGTTGTTTTCTATCGGATGTTAACGAAGCAATACGATGTTTGCAATAACAGTCGCCGATGTCCCTTGCGGTCAAGGAAACATCGCCACACGCACGGCGAGACTCGTTGGAGGACAAAATGCAATTCCTCACGAATTCCCTTGGATGGTGAGCATAAGCAGGAAAGGCGGACACTTTTGCGGCGGTACCATACTTAATTCAAGATTCGTCCTGACTGCAGCCCATTGCCTGTGTTCGTGAGTATACTATGCATCCTCTATTCTACATACATACACGAGTTTATTAATTAATCGACAATTTAACAAATAATTTAATGGGTTCGATATTTAGTTAATTATTAATTATGAAATTGTGAGGTATTACGCAACAGGGTTTGTATATCGCTGTTTCTACTGATTGAAATGTATGACTTAAATACAGGTGCACAGCAAATATACGGTGCATTTCATTCCACCGTTTCGTGGCGTTATATTTGTTTTCGAGCAATCACTTATTTATAGATAGATTATCAATGAAACAAGTTTCGTCGTTATGTTCTATACATATATCTAACGTTATATGTATGAGCAAATAAAGCTTATTTCGCACTATGAAAAATTAACATTTTTAAATTAGAGCAAATGAATATTTTCTACGTAAAAGTTGATTTCGTTGAGTGATACATCGGAAATTCTGCGTTCGTCGGATTCTTCGAGATTCCTCGATATTATTGTCGGGTTGATTTCTTTTTAAATGACACAAATATTAAAACACAGAGAAAGGAAAAAGGACGAAGAATTATCGAGGAAAGATGATTATAGAAATAAAAATTCCATTCTATTCAAACATCGAATTTTACTTTTAAAAGAACACTGCTGCCTAGAAGACTACCCAATATTCAATACCCTGAATATTTTTACAATATGGCTCGATTATTTATAAATTCAAAATAAATCGCCCGGTCCATTCGATTTAGAAACTCGTTTCCCCGACAGTTCGTAAAAAACAACGAAAAAAGGAGTACCTAAATTTCAAAGCATTACAATATCGATCGGTCGGATAGTTTATACCCCCATTCTTTGCAATAATGCCGGTGTACGCGGTGTTCGCGTAATCAATATGCAGGTTGCCATCGAAAATATTCATGGCAGAAAACCGACTGTTTCTTCATGGAAAGCTGCCCATTGTTCCCTGTAATCGAATCTACGAGCACCGCTGCAAGGGTGCAAGAGAGAATGAGAGAGAGAAAGAGAGAGAGAGAGGGAGGGAGGGAGGGAGAAAAGAGAGAGAAAGAGAGATCTTATCGCGGAACGATATTCACAGTGGCGCCCGTGTGTGCCAAAATTTTCTACCGTTTTTGATATCGCTACTAAAATGTCAACGAAACGCAAGCAACCATCTTGTCCAACAAACCGTAGCTGTAATTATTCCGATCCGATCTCGACGATTGAATGGTGGTATTCGATAGCCGCGCGGTTAAACCTCGTCCACCGGAAACAACATTCATTTTTCAGCATGCAAATGTATCGTTACGAATGCATTCGCCACGAGTATCGTAAAAACGGATATTCCGTAATACATAAATACGATAGAGTGCGATTGGTTCTTCAAATTTGCAGAATAATTAATGAAAGATAACGGGAACGAAGTAATAATTATTCGCAATTTCAATAAGAGCGGCAGGCAATTTTTTAACATAGTCCTTCGAGTTTCAATGTACTCGTACGAAAGCTTATAAGCCTTGGTTCGTACTTTTGATACGAAATAAATCTCTGCCCTGATAAAGTCACGACAGTGAGCCTTGCGACCTCTAAAAAGCTGTAAGAGACCTAAGAGATCCTTCTTGATCGGTCGAAAACTGATTTTTCCGAGAACATAAAAACTTAGAACAAGCGCGTTGCAACAGAAGAAACTATGTTCGAAAATTATGTTATCGTAAGGCGTCTGTTTTTATCAAAATAAAATTTTATAGCTCCATTTTGGATAAGTTTTCATTCATCCTCGTAAGAACATCGGCCAACGACGAATAATCGGATTTGGAACAATTGGAAAATGATTATAGAGGAAAATATGGATGATACGGAAAATCGTCTCGTTTGTATCTTTCTGTGAGTAACGAATCATATAAGCGAGAAATACCTCTATATTTTCAGGCGCGAAACTAAAGAGAAATTGGAGGAGAATATCACTTGAAAGTTCGACCCGAGTGGTTCAATTTTTTAAGAACGAAGTTGCCTCAAAAAAGCGCCGCAAGTTATTGCGTCATAATCCACTTAATCCATCCGTGCAATCTATGCAAATCTGTGCCAGATTTAAAAACCTAGAAATCCGCGTGTTGCGCGCGGCGGCGATTACGCTCTGTAGTTTGCAAAAATCATCACGCTCGGCGAAAGGATAAAAAGTTTAATGCGCGCCTCTCTAGAAATTACGTAACGTGTCAGGAAAAAAGAAAACAAAAAGAGGGGTATAAAAGGGAAGAAAAGAGGAAAGGGAATACTACGAAATTCCAACGTCCCGCTACACCTATTTTTATCGCGTCACTTTCCCGCGAAACATTCTTTCGGAGAAAAAAGATTACAAACGTTCAGAATCATCGTAACATAAAACGGATAAGATCGGATGAATTAAAGATAAATCGGAGTCGAACGCGAAGGGAAATTTTCACCCAATTACGTATCGTAGTAACAACATTTTACCAATGCGTACAAATTGACATAACGAATTGATAATTAGCAACACTTGCTACTTTTATAACTGTAAATCGAAATAACGTACTTTGCTCTTCGCTAGAAATACTATTACACGCATTTGCTATTTAAATATCATTGATTGTACTAACGTCGAAAGTCTCTCCATCGGTTTAATAGAATCTTCTGAATCTGCCTTGCACATTTAAAAAAAACGAACAGTCTGAGAATAAAGAATTTGTTAATAATATAGATAACTTTATAATGGAAATAGATCTCGCGAAGAGTAAGCGGATATCCGAATACCTTGAAACCGCGATGTACATTTGTACATGCATATAGATATGTATAGAGGAATAACGCCTACGTGGTGAAATATCGAGGACCGTTAACAGGACAAACGCGTTTTTCTGACTTGCTGTCTGGCTTTGTGATTATCGAATGGCCGGATAAACGGCCAATCACTTCGTTAAAATTATATAAAACGACGGGACCGTGTGTCGTTTGCCGGTGTCCCGTCGTTCCCTGCGGTCGTATATGCACGCGGGACACGATATCGATGTTAATTGGAGCGACGATTACATTTTAAATGAAACCTCGAGCGTATTTTTCCGGCGAACGAGCGAGTCGAATGGAAACGCAAAGAGCGTTGTGTCAAGTTAAAAACTGCTGTGCCGCTATTTACTCGCGTAAACACTGTCGCCAAATAGAGTCAAGAGGCGGCCTTTTATTAAATGCCAGAGTGAAAAACGTTTCTGTCCTGGCTGGAGATGCGTGTTTGTGTGGATACGCGAATCAATCCTTCAACGGTTGCATAACACGACGTTCCTATCGTTTATACGAACGATTAACGGGACGCGTTTAAGGGAAAATAATAACGTTACGAAGAATCGTTTCGATGGTGTACACTTATACGATTCAATAGAATTCTTGTCGAACGATTAACAGACTGATCGGCCAAACGAGATTATTTAAACGATCGATCGAATCGCTCTCGTTGTTAACAACGACCTTTTCCCCATATTCGCGGAATTGTCTGCGATTAATTATGCAATGGGTTATCGATGATATACCGCTCTTCGTTTGATCGGCGCGTAGAATATATTTTGGTCTACATTTCGCGAATTATCGTTTTCGCGGAAAATACGTATTATATCGGGACGAGAATTTATCATAGAATTTGAAATATCAGCCGGTGAAATACAAAGAATAGAAATACGGAGACTGTACGCGTAGATTGTAAATGTCGATATCGATTCGATAGGATTTTAAGAATCGATGTTTAAAGCAAGGTATTATATGTTAAAATGAAAAGAAAAAAGGGGTCGCAAAAAGGGGCAGAATGTGTCAGTGGTTCAATTTAAAAGTAATTTCCACGCTTCTCATTTAAAGGGAATCGCACACGAAGCATCGTAATAGGATCCTGGAAACTCTTCCAATCACTGGCTAAAATCGAGAGAGGATTTCGAAAATATTCGTAATTCTTTTTTCTCACGGATACAGCGCGGAGATTTATGTGGAACAGTGTCCATGCAGGTGTAATTAAACGTCGAGACAGTGGTGTTGCGCGATGAAACGTGTAGGCGTTCTCTATCTTTGTCTTCGTCGAGTATATAACAGAAACAGAACGATACAGAGAGACATGGAGAAACAGAGAGAGAGAGAGAGAGAGAGAGAGAGAAAGGGGATGACGGAGGAAGGGGTTGAAACTGGACAGGGTGGCCATAGAGAGAATCCAACGGAGCTTCGGCGTTGTAAACCATGATTGCGTGTAGATTACAGACCACTCGGTAATTGCTAGCGGCCATGCAAAACGCATGACAAAATGTTACCAGCTAGCGCGAGATCGTGAAAATATATCCGACTCCGACCATTGTCCGCGTTTTCTTTATCGTTCACGGAAACGGCCGAAATAAATTTCGTTAATGCGGTTCTACGCGCGAAAGAGAATTATTTGTTAAGTTATCGCGAGAGGGGGAAAAGCAAGAAATGTGGAAAAAATGGCCACAGACAGACCGAAGAATTTCAAATATGTAACGATACAAAGATCTGTTCGTCGTTATTATTCATCGGAACATCGTGTAATAATATTTCGACGACGTTTCGAGTAAAACTGTAAAAAAGAAAATAAATGACAAGTTCCGCATTATCGACTAAATCGATAGGAACGGAAACAAAGTTCACCGCGAAATACTCGGCAACCGTTCTCCTCGCGCACACCAGTTTACAAGCGAATTAACGGTACGATTAATGGCCGAGTCGCCAGTTAAAAAGGCCACTCCCCTTAACCGGTGGCGCGATTCAGCGTTTAGCCAGCGGTGCATTTTAATTGGAAGGGGTGCGATGATAAGGGCAGCGAGTAACTACGATGATGCATCCGTGCTAAATCGTATAATCCACAACGGGTGCCGGAACAATGGGACTGCCTCGACGAAGATGGAAGGGTCCATTAAAACAGAGGGTTGTCTTTGTAAAAAGAGACGAACCTTGAAACTTGGGAAACGACTCGAATGTGATTGCACCATCCGCGAGTCGGCGGAATCAAGGCAACGAAGAAACTGGGACGAGACATCCTCTGGTGCTCTCTCGTTTGTAACAGAGGGTGACACGAAAACTGTTATAATTTCATTAATTATTCGGAAGCCGCGTTGACCAATTAATTAAGCGAAACCGCTACATTTGGAGGCTGTTCGAATACCAATATCGAAGCGTTGCTACAGCGAGAGGCAAAACTTTCGGTTAAATAATCGCGAGCAAAGGTTACGAAGGAATTGCTCCGTTACTTTAGGAACATCGAGAGGAATGAAAGAAATAGAAGAAGCGTTAGTGGAAAAGAACGTAAAACGAAGAATATAGAATGCTGCCTTTATTTCACACATTTATACCTGCTGGTTTCTCGTGCACTTAACTTTTACGATGATTACTTGCCGGCATCGTTACTGGACTTTGACTCCTTGCGGTCCGGAAACGGCCAGAATATCCAGCTATTTGTCCTACTTGGCCTACATGTATCCGTAATGCGTGTAAAGTGGAAGTTATAACTCGTCGTTTTTCAAACAGACGTTCTTTGAAAGCTTTAAAGCGTAAGGATTTACAGGATGCGAGTTTAAGGAAGTAGCGCGTAACGTGTACCTTTTGGGATAAGATATTGGACAAAATGGAAAATGCGCTTCCTTGGAACGCTTCGGAGTTATCATCGCGTTGAAGCGATTAAGAACAGCTAGAAAATAATTCACTAAGTATCGCGAGTATTTCGAGTAATTGAAATAATTATTGTATCGATTCTTATTCGTTATTACCACACTGCCAACGTTCGTATTTTCGCGGATAGAACGAAGGAAATGGAACCGAAGCAAAGATTTATTTCACCTACTTGATTCTACGTTAAGAAATATAGTAACAAGTACTAGGCATCTGCAATTTTTCATAGAAGCATCATTTTCTCAGATCTCCGTGAAATTTCCCTTTTTCCTAAATAAAATATACTATATAAGTATTACACTCAAGACAGTCTGTATCGACGATTTAACGAACGATAAATATCTTTTGCTTTTGATTCAGAGGGAGTTCTATAATCCCCACCGGTCAATTACGGATCAGCCTCGGCGAGTACAATCTGAAGGGGCCGGAAGTTCCAGCATCGAAGGAAGAGAGAGTGACGAACGTTATCCTGCACCCTGGCCACAAGTGCGGAAAATACGTGGACGATATTGCCCTTCTGGAACTTGCAAGGCCAATCGCTTGGTCGGAGAGCGTGAAACCCGCCTGTTTACCTGTGGCCACAGGGAAACCAGGGTATAGCGCCTTCGGCGGGGAACTCGCCAAGGCTGCTGGATGGGGTTGGTTCGGCGAAGACAGGTCCAAATGTAAGTAAATAATTCCACTTCATCCCCTCTTCCTCGCCTCTTCCTTTTGCCCGGTAATTCGCTCGAGAACTGAGAGTCGTTGACGTTAATTACTTGGCGTTTCATCGGATTAATGGGATATAAAATCGACTGTAACTTGGCGAGAAAATCGCTGCTTCTGCTACCAGGCTGTTACAAAGTGGATTTTCCAGCGAACCAATGATTTTATCGGCGCATTAAATACGAACAAAGGGAGCAAAAATTTGTTACGTTACCATAGTCTATTTGTTTTCGATAATGATATTGTAAGGGGCATGGAAGTAGAACAGGTGTGCCACCCAAGTTTTCCATGAACGACTAAGTAAGCGAATTCTACCTTGGTCGAAATCGCGTTTCACCAAAGTTCCTGCTCGCTGCCCTAAATTAATGGCGCTAAGAGATCGAGTCGAACTTTCACCTAAAAGCGCCCTCGGTGAAATTTGCTCGATTCGAACGCTTCCGCGTTCACGATACGCGTTCCAGAGCAATAGAAATTTTCTAAAGGGAATGCGGAAAAATATACCGATGGTTTGCTTGGTATTTTTATTGATATTGAAACTTCCTACGGTAAAACTTGGAGAATGAACAAAATTGATTTTAATCCCTTGCCTCGTAATATAAGATTACGGTCGTGACGTACATCACGCCTAAATTAGTTTCTTAATTTTAGTTTTAATTTATTCGAGATTACCAAGAACCATCAACTACCCTTTAAGTGTGAAAATGTTACCTAGCTTTAATCGTTCTACGTACTTTCAGTTACTTTTATTATTTCTGAAATATCTATCGATATTACCACACCTCGTTTATAGAAAACTTTCTACGCTAATTACGTGCCATTTCAGTAAACTGACATTTTTAAATACGCGATATTTTTTAAGCTCTGATACCATTCTCGTGTCACTAAGAGTTTTCCTACCTTTCGATCTTCAAATATACCCGTTTCGACCACTCGCGGAGAGACGCGATCGCGAGGAAGCATTCCTTAGTTCGCTATTCGACAAATTTCCTTAGTCTACGTGTTTCGACCACTCGCGGAGAGGCGCGATCTCGAGGAAGCACGTTAACGGGAGTCGTAAATTCCCGTTACGATTAGATAATCGACACCACGAAATGATCGATCCCCTATTTCGATTAGGATAATAGAGGTGGTTAATTGAATATTACACTGATGTAACTAGTTGTAAATGACAGTTTATTCCAACAACTTTGTGAAGAAGATAGTTACGCTGGTGCGTATGTATAAGATGAGTGAGTGACTGATCTTCGGGTGTAAACCCGGTCGAAGGAATGTTGACTGTTTGAAGGATGGGAAATCAGTGATGTTCGGTGACGATGCTGTAGCGGAGGAAAGCTAAGGATGGGTGTGTCTAGCGCACGGGACCATCGGATTTGTTGGTGACGATTTTGACTAAGAGAGTGAGGGAAATAGGATTCGTTGTTAATTGATTAAACGAAGGTTGGTAGACTAGGAAGGGTCTTAGCTGCTCTCGATAGAAAGTCGCTATTAGGAAGCATCGTACGTTGGAAAACCCAACTTTCCCTTGTCAAGCCGTGGTAGACAATAGTCCTTAGAAAGTGATTTAGAAATGAAAGTCTGAAGGACCTTAGCTGGCAAATTACTGGAATTTGATGGGTCCTTAAGACTATCGAGGGTACGCAGCAAGGATGAGCGGACGTCTGATGTCCGTCTGGCCCGCGGTGTATGGCCTGGCTAGGTAGAGTGTCGCCCGACGTAACAATACCTTTGCAATATTAGATATACGATCGATATGATACGTACGACGACCAATGTAGCTTCTGCCAAGCAATAAATTTCCAATGGTTAAAGCAATAAATAGTAAACTACGTCATATACATGTAGTCGAAAGACATAAGAGCCAACCGAAAGCAAAGAGATAAACGTAGATTTCAAGCACTCGACAATCGTGTCCGATTAAAGCCGATTCCACGTAGCCGCTTTATCAAAAGCTCGTTCTATTTTGTCTTGCAGATAAACGAGCGGACGTGTTGCAGAAAGTGGAGGTTCGCGTGATCGAGAACAACGTATGTCGCGAGTGGTACGCGAGTCAGGGAAAGTCGACCCGCGTCGAGTCG